AAAAAAATCCTTCATGTATATGAATTAAAAAAATCCTTAAAATAATTTGAGAAAAATAATTAAAGAAACAAAATTAAAGAATTAAGAACTTACTAAAACAACACAATTTTAATATATTTTCTTCATTTTTTAGATATATAATAAATAAACACTTTTCTCCCGTAAAAAATCCCCATTAAACTTTAACTTGACCCAATAACAGTCCAGTAGCCCATAAAAGCTACTCGACTGCGAATGGGCTTTAGAGTTCTTTTTTTTTTTTTTTAAATTTAACAGTTTCCCTCATTTGTCCTTGAAGGAAAAAAAATGAATAGTTCTATATTTTTTCGAAAACAACATAATTTTGTGTCCACGATTGGAAATTGCAACCAACTCACTATCCTTCTTTACAATTTTGCCAATAAAACACAGCCGTATTTACAATTTTCCCGATAAAATACAGCCGTCAGATCAACGACAGCTAATCAAAACAAAACGGCGCCGTAAAGCTCCGACTCATAGGCAATGACACGTGGCGCGAAACCAACCCTTCTCATCATTGTTAACTTTCCTATTAACTTGAAGTTAAAGATTAATCTAGGATTTGCATAATCTTTCAAGCTGAGCAACTTACTATTAAATCAGCTTGAACTTGTTCCTCATATCCACGTCTTGGTGGGTGGAATGCTTCTACATATCTGAATTTCAAAAGAAGTAATCTTAGCTGCGTTGGGAGTGATATATGTTTCTTAAATTTAAACACTTGAACAAAATCTTCTGAATCAGATATAATTCAACTGAAGTAACAAATGATACATAGTAATAAAAATTAATGATGAGAAACAAACAGAGATCGTATACCAGAATTCGAATCTATAAAATTATGTAGTTGATGCCAAGGAATTGAAAATGCATATGCCCTTTAAATGAAGTATAACTAGTATGAACTTTGGTTTGGTTTTTACCTGCAACAGTTTTCCTTCAAAGTAACAAATGAGAGATACAAGGTATGTTCCTAATTGATTAAAACTGAGCACCTCCAAGAACATTCTGTAGTTTTCAAAATTTTTCAAGAAGCAAGTTTACTGTAAGACTAAAGCCTCACTCAGTTCTCAAATAATAATTAGGATACATAATAAAAGAAAGCATACCAGAATCATCTTTCGCTTGGGGAAGCTACTTTCATTCCATTCCTCTGCTATTGCTTGATTCTTAGATGAGGCTCTGTTTGGTGTTTCAAGGCCAATGGTGTATATGTTATTACAAGGGAAAAGTAGTTCCATGCCTGCAACCAAAAATGAATTCCATTTGTGTATATATGTTTTGCAAAGAGAAAGGATTTAACTAACATGGATCTTAGTTCCAAGTGCAAAAGAGATAATAATTATGCAATTGACAAAGAAAACTTTGATTCACCAAATTAAGTTAACATATGTGCTCTAAGTTGCTGGAAGTTTTGGAGTCAGTTGATTTCAACATATGCTTCAAATGAAGAATGCTAGTTTAGTGTTGCAGTCACATCTTATACATAAGACCAAGGGTCTTTTATACAGCTAATAGCTTTATTCACATATAAACGAACTGCTGAAGAAAAACTATACAATAACCCATTTTGGAGCAAAATAGCACTTCAAAATGGAGAAGATAGAAAATTAAGAAGCCTTCAAGTTGAACATTGGGGAAAAAAAAATTCAGGAGCCTCATTCAAGATTTGAGTTGATATATATTATTGTATTGCTCCCTAAATTGATAGAAAGACAAAGACTTAATTGATAGAATGAGCCAATGAGGAGAAAATTAGTATTGGGAATTTATAAATTATGAAGAAGTGCAGTTGCGAGAAAAAGAGGAGTTGGGATTTCAGAAATCAGGCATACCTGTTGCCTCTCGCAAACCTCAATCTTGGGATTAAATGTACTTGTCCTTCATGTGGATGGTTGGAATGTGAGAAATTTTGGACCACTCAGGACCGCTTTCCTTGGCGCATCTTTCCTCTAACAAGGAGCAGTCACAAACGTAAAGACACCGCAATTTGGAGAGTCGTCTAATGGCTTCCGCAGAAGGCAGTCGTTTCAGATTCTTGCACTTCTCAACATATAGATATTCAAGGGAGGATAAGTTTCTCAACCAGTCTGGTAAGACTTCCACTCCATCAAATCCGGCTACCCACAAGGACTTTAGAGCAGTGAGGTGTTGAATTTGATGAGGCAACTGACTTAACTTTTCCCAACCATACAATTTCAAGCATTCAAGGGAGGTGTTGATGGAATTCAGACCCGGAAATTCCTCCAACTCTTCTGAGAAACCACCAATAGACAACCTCTTCAACTGGGTAAGATGGCCGATAACTTCCTCTGGAATAGAGACCAGATTAGGACAATCCTGTATAGTAAGTGTGTTGAGACCGGTGTAGAATGACAGCCCACTCGATAAACATCTTAATCCAGAACAAGAATCAACATGCAATCCTTTTAGGGAGGATAGGTTTCCCAACCACTCTGGCAATGTTTCCACTGCCTCAAGCTTACTAATAGACAACCCCTTTAGAGCAGTGAGGTGTTGAATGTGAGGTGGCAACTTAGTTAATTTTTTCCATCCATACAACCGCAACTCTTCGAGTGAGGTCTTCAGGTAGAGAATGGAACCAAGTCCAGGGAAGTCCTCTAGCTCTTCCCAAAAACCACCAATATTCAATTTTTTCAAGCTAGTAAGGCACGCGAGGGGCTTCTCTGGGATGCTTCTCAATTTTGAACAATCTACAATTTCTAACTCAACAAGAGAATGCAATTCCTTCAATTCTTCTGGAATAGAGATCAAGTTATGGCACGTCCTTACTGTCAGACGTTTAAGAGCAATGCAGGATGATAACCCACTTGGTAGACACTCTATTTCACATTCAGACAAATATAAATCTTGAAGAGAGGTAAGCCCATCAAGACTTGGAATGATCCTCAGCTTAGGAAGCCCAGACAGATCAATGGTCTGAAGAGATGCAAGCCCATCAAGACTTGGAATAAGCCTCAGATTAAGAAGCCTAGACAGATCAATGGTCTGAAGAGATGTAAGCCCATCAATACTTGGAATAAACCCCAAATTAGGCAGCTCTCCCAGAGATAAGTGCTTAAGGCACTTGGAGGCTGCTAGTATATCTCCGATGGTGCTTATAGAGCAATTAGAAATGAAGAGTTTCAGAAGTGATTGTAACCCACTTGTTGGAACACTTGCCAGCTTAGGACAATTTCCTATGCTTAACTCTTGCAGGGACTCAAATGTCGCAAATGCTTCATCAGCTATGGTACTTAATTCATTGCAGTCCCAAATACCAAGCAGCTGAAGGGATGAAAGTTCTTTCATTACCGGAATGCTTTCTAACTTCTTGCACCCTTGAATGTTCAATTTCACCAAGTTCTTGATCAAAAACACTTCATTACTGTAGCTACAGTTGCTTGCCAACATCCATGACGGTAAGTTTTTACCTCCATAACCATAAATAGCTAATCTTTGCAGATTTGAGTGTGGTCGGAGGCCTTCCAAAACATCTTCATC